TTGCTGGTTGCCGTAGATTTTGGAGTAAGAAGCGGCGCGCAAGGAATGTCGATTTAGCGACGATGCCATTTGCGAACCTTGTCTGAGTCTGACACCGGGATTTACACCCAATTCAACCTGTTTGCCATCATTTGAACCAACTTCGACTTTCTATCAGTCAGCCACCACAAGCTTTCGGTTGATTTGCTGAGAGGGAACAGCATGATAGTAACTTCTGCTCCTTTACCTAGACAATTCCCAGGTTACAGGTTTTCCACAAAATTCGTTCCGGTGCTCAACATGTCTTCCTTTCCAGTAAAGTTACTCAAATGACCCTCGCTTCTTTGCCTCTGCCAGACTGGGCACGCGGCAGGCCCCCTATCGACGGCTTCCTTGTCATTGCTGGAGGCATGGCACTGGAACAACGCCTTGAGCTGTCTCTCCAACGAACATCGACTGCCCAAGCCTTTGTCAGCAAGTCAGATATTGTTATGAGTTATGATATTCCCAAGTCGTCTATTCCCGGTTTTTGAATGTTGGCAGACAATTCTATAATGTCGATTCACTCTCATGCCCTGATTCTTGGAGCAAGTCAAAACCAGGCTAAAGCTTGCAATTGAAAGAAGATATTCTAGAAAGAGAGGCCTGGATCCTCCAGCAATGTTTGGTTTCTCTGGCTTGAAGGGTCTTTGAACTTGTTTTCTTTGAGTTTTCACTTGAGAAAGAAGATCTCCATTTGTCCTTGTCCTGGGAACCCAAATTTTGCCACTAGCTTCCTGGGTCATTACTGTAGTTGACATGACAGTCTGATGTCTAGCCATTTCCTTCAGAGTCAGGAGTCATACCCCGATTTGGAACCTTCTGAGCAGATAGGTAGATGCTGGAATTTGACTGCTCTTTTTTGCGTGAAAGACATCTGAGGCCATGCTAGGTGCAGAAAGAGACATTCCAAGCTATCCTTTTTTCACTTGCCTGGGGGACTTCCAAGACGCTTCAACCTTCCCTTTTTGGTGCCCCCAACATGTTTCTGCCTCCAACCCCGCAGAAAGAGGTAGCGCACATATGCCAGGTCAGACCCCCTTGCTCTCCCTTCAATGATCCCCAAGTGAGAGGTGAGAAGGGTGATGAATTGAAGATTGCCAAGCCACACTTGAAAGAAGTCTTGCATAGATGTTAATGTTTAGGTGGAGTTCTGCCGCCTTTTCTTGGGGCGAGGTTGGCGTGGAAGGCCGGAGTGGCGGATTTCGGCAAAAGGATGTCAACAAGAGCTTAGGAAAGACAGCTGGTAGTCAGGTTGGAGTTGTTGTGTCATGAGTCGTGATTCAGGATCGTGTTCTCTTCTCTTTCAAACCACCCTAAAGGTCTTTGAAGCGAATTGGAGGTTTCTCGAAGTTTTGTCAGGAGTGAATGGGCGGGTTTTTGCGTGATCAAGGCATTTTAGCAGCTTGAGGGATGGAGGCCACAGCGGCTACGGACTTTGTGTGCTATGCCGGAACATCGGAGATGATTCTTTGGGTGAAGGAGTTCCAATTGGGTGGAGCGTTGAGGGATGGCCACCAGAATTTGCTCAGCCAAAGGGTGCCTTCTCAGTGGGGTCCAGTGCATCTCTTCGATCTGTGCCTCACCTTTGGTCTCTTCGACACTGCCTGGGCTATGGCAGAGGGTGGAGTCGAAGGCTGCAGGTTGGAGGTCTATCACCTCAACCGACAGTTTAATCGCCAGAACTCCTACCGGTTCAGAGGTACATGGCAGACCTGTGCCGGTGAGTGCTGCTATGGCTTCCCAGACGGCATTTGGATGGATGACTGGGACGCAAATCTTGCGGATGCCGCGGATGCTGCACGCCGGACCGCCAGCCAGCCTTTGGCTCGGACACTCCTGGAGGCTTTTCGGACTTCTGCTGGACTTCCTTTCGCCATCTCCGAAGAGGCCATGGCGCACTTGCTTGACATCGCCGTCCTCATCGGCGACAAAGAGGCGGCCATGAGCTGCGCGGAGCGATCCCGTCTCCGCCCTTTGCGGCGGTGAACCTGGCATGGGATTTTGGATCTTTTGCCAGATGGTTCTCAGTCCCACTCAACGGCAGAACACGAGATCGTAATGCGGTATGGCACCTGGGAGCTTTTCGACCGTGGGATGCTCTTGGCAGCTCTCGCAGCCGGTGTGGAGCTCCAGGGCCTCCAAAGTCTCATAAGGTTGGATCATTTTGAAGAGGTTCCTTTCCGAGTGGCCGTTGCTCTGTCCGGCACCCCCTGGGCCGATTTCGCAGATCTGCTGCCACCACCTCAAATTCCGTGGGTGCCACCACCAAGGCTCGGAGAATTTATTCTCAAGGTGGACATCAGAAGCAGGACCCTTCATTTGTGCAAAGATCTGCTGGAAAACGTTCAGAGAGCTGGAATCTCCTTAGCTGGTTTCAAGGTCCAAGTGCACTGCAGGGGATGCTCCGATGTGCTATCGCTTTTGGATATTGCGATTCTCTTTGGGCAATCGGACTGCGCGGCCTTGCTTGCTCGCGCGGGCGCAGAGGTGTCGGACTACGGCCGCGAACTTCTGCGGGCGAGTGGTGCTCTGGATCCGGGTTGCCGGCCGGCAGCGAGGGCAGCAGCCCACGCGGCGCTGTCAAAGCTGTGGAAATCGGAGATTGCTGCCAAAGGAATCGCCATCTTCCAAGCCATGAAGAAGCTTTCTCAGGGAAGATCTTTTCCAGCTTGTTTGGTGGATGAGGTCATGGCTTTATCCCTCAATGTGCCAAGGATCATCAATGATTTGGATCTGTCGGACGAGGCAAAAGCTTGGTGCAAGTCTGTGTGCTTGCACTTGGCACTGCAGGCGGACCCTCACGAAGAGGAAGCCTGATTGAGAGACTCGGCTATAGAGTCGGCCGACTTTCCCTCTGATGTTCTAACCATTTGTTCCTTCCTTTTCCTTTAGATATTTTTGATTCTGTTCTGTTGAGTTGGTTTGAATGTTGAGGATTGAGGACTCTTGTTGCTAGAAAGTCCATCTAAGGTAGACTATGGAACGTTGGAGTGAAGACCGACTCCATTGCAGTGCTTATTGTACAGATCAACATCTCACAGTATGTTCTGCCTGAGCTCTATGCAGAGCCTTGAGCCTTGTTAGTGCGAGGGCTGCACGTTTGAAGAGATGTTTGGGCAGTTTTTGATGCCATTTGCCGGCTTGAATCAGTGTGCAAAGCATACTGCCTATCTTCCTTCTTGCTTCTGCTGTTGTTTTGTTCAGTTCTTAGCCGTGCCATGGCTTTGGCACGGCCTTCTCAGTGTGTCTTCCCTTCCACATAAACAATCTTGTTCTTGAGATGGGAGTGAAGGCATTAGGGACGTAGTCAGTAGGGTTGCCAGTGGAAGGGGCAGACTTGAGCGCTTGAAGCTAAAACTTCAACTCGGAATCGAAGTAAATATCAGAGACGGTTCTGGCCACAGCCCAGAGAAACATTGACATAAACAATCTGTTCCTCCTCCCCTCATAGTTATTGAATGACTGTGCTCCTTTGCTTGCAACTTCCGAGATCCTTACACCAAACCGTCCACTTCCATCACCTTCGTCAGCGGACCAGAGCCCTGAGCTTTGGACGTGTGGACGAAGCTGCCGGAAGAACACGTTTCTTTGTACAGGAATCCCCATGCAGCCGGCGCTAATCAGGGTCATGAGCCCTGAGAGTGCCAGGCCCTTTATGGGCAGGCAATTTAGACTCAAACAGTTTTGGACGCTTGACCTTGCGCCAAAAGCCATGGTTGAGCCAGTAGGACCTTTCTTCATTTTCGCTGAGAAAGGACCATGAGGTCTGAGTGGTCTCAGCACGAATCTGTGTGGTTGGCGGACCAGAGTCGAGAGCTTTGGACGTACTAGCTAGCAGGCTGTTGAGACGTGCAGATCTGTAGGAAAAGAGACTGGCATTGGTCCTTTTAATGAAGGAACACAAAGTTGTTCTGGAGGATGCTGCTTCCAGATCTCCAATAAGTGGCCTAGTTAAGATATGGGGTGGACACGTGAATCCCTCAGCTGCCTTTGGCACCACATCCAGGTGGTACCTTCCTGCTATGCTGCTTGGAGCGGGCTGGATCCAGTCGATGAGGCTGGTGCGATTGTTGTTCTGAGCCTCGGGGCTGGTTTTCTCACAGGGAGTCGTAGAACCACTCTTGCTTTTTGGCTCCTGTCAGGCTCTGAGGCGTTTGAAAGACGCCCAGCCGCCTGGCGCCCTGGCTGGAGCCGAGGCGAGCCTGGACGTTGGAGGAGGTCGAGGAGGTTGAGGAACTGAGACGTGTTTGGATGACGAAGCATTCTAGTCATCCCAATGGGTTTCATACGGACAGGACAGACAGTATTTTTGTTGTTCTGCCTAGCTGCTTTTCGCATCACTTCTGCATTCGATGTCACATCGAAGAATGGAAGGCCAATCAACCTCAAACGCGCCCGAGACCATATCAAGCCATTCAGCCAAATTATATAAGCCAGTCTTTTCCTGTCCTGTTTTGGTCAACAATTTCTTTAGCTCTGAAGATTTATTGCGGTTCAACAGATCATGAGCAGAACATGGTCTTATGGTTTGCCCCTTTGTCTCCTCGAAGTGAGGAACCCTTTAGAACAAATATCAAGGAGTAAGCTTGAAGAGCTCTTCGGCAGGAACTCTGTCCACAATTTTCAATCTACCCCACACATGTCACAAACACCGGTTTGGACGATGATCGAGTGAGTGTCCGAACGGCCGGGCATGGTGTCCAGTCTTTTTTTGGCGAGTGTTAGCAACCGGAGATGGTGACATTTCTTTGGTTTGAGTTTGACTTCAATGTTTGAGTGGCTGTTTGTCAGAGAATAGCTATCAATGGGTCCGGTATCATATTGTGGAGTCAAGGAAGTTTTGAGCTAGTCGGCCCCCCCAAGCAGGTTTTCTATGGGTTTCTGTAGCCATGAGCTTTTTGGTAGTGTTTGATTGGGCGTTGAACACTCATCACACCTGGAATTTTAGTGCCGGTTGCGTTGGCTCGCTGTTCATCTCAGAACAAGGTAGGTGGGCGCCGAAATCCAGTGTTTTCCAGAGTCCTTGAAGGATGGATGTAGTGGTGGATTTTGTTTGCTACAGCCATTCTTCCCCAGAGATTGTTCTTGGAGTGAAGGAATTCCAGATAGCCCAGGCGTTGCTGGAAGGCCGCGCAGAGCTTCTGAGCCAACCTGTGCCGGTGCCTTCCCACTGGGCAGCAAACCCAGTGCATCTCTTCGATTTATGCCTGACGTTTGGCCACTTTGACACAGCATGGGCCATGGCTGAGAGAGGAGTTGAAGGTTGCAGATTGGAGGCCTATCACCTGAAGAGAGATTGCCATGACAGGGATATCGACTGGTGGGGCTGCGGCAATTGCATAGACGATTGGGAGACCTGTGAACAGTGCTGCTTCGGCTTCCCAGTCGAGCAGGGCATTTGGATGACGGACTGGAACTCAAATCTCTCAAATGCCGCGGAAGCTGCCCGCCGAACAGCGGAGCAGCCCTTGGTGCGCACCGTCCTGGAGGTGCTTCGCTCCAAGGCCGTGCCGCACGCTCTCGCCATTTCTGATGAGGCCATGACGCATTTGCTGGACATCGCCGTCCTGATTGGCGACAGGGAGGCTGCCGTGCGCTGCGCGGAGCGATCCCGTCTCCGGCCTTTGCGGCGCTGGAGCTGGGAGGAGATTTTCCGGACTTATTTTGATCCATGCTCAGACCTGGAGACTAAGATGAGGTTGAGTTCCCGCTTCTTGGAGCTTCGAGATCGTGGCATGCTCCTCGCGGCCCTCTCGGCCGGTGTGGAGCTCCAAGGGCTGCAAAAATCTTATGGCCGGACTCCGATTCCTTTCCGAGTGTCTGTGGCTCTGACGGGAACTCCTTGGACCGACTTTGCAGACCTGCTGCCGCCACCTGACACTCCATGGGTGCCACCAGAAGAGAACGTTTTCGGTGATTTCTTCCTCAAAGTGGACAGAATTGGCGAGATTGAGATGCCCTATTTGTGCAAAGACCTGCTGGAAATCGCTCAGAGAGCTCAAGTCCCCTTGGCTGCTTTGAATGTGACATATCCCTACGCCGATGACTTTTATATGTGTATTCAGAGTCTGTCACTCTTGGATTGTGCGATTCTCTTTGGGCAGTCCGACTGCGCGGCTTTGCTCGCTACCGAGGGTGTCGAGCTGTCGGACCACGGCAGCAAACTCTTGCTGGAGGACGGTCTGCTGGATGCGGAGCCTGAGCGGCGGCCTGCGGCGACGGCAGCGGCCCACGCGGCGCTGTCAAAGGTGTGGAAATCGGAGATTGCGGCCAAAGGAATTGCCATCTACCAGTTGATGAAGAAGCTTTTGCAGGGAAGACCTTTTCCAGCTTTAATGGTCGATGAGGTGGTGGTTATGTCTATGGATGTGCCGAAGATCATCCAGGGTTTAGACTTGTGGGAAGAGGCAAGTGCTTGGTGCCAGTCGCGCACTTCGCGGCTTGGCCCACCGCAAGTTGGGAGGACTTCATCTCAAGCAGCTGCCAGCTCGGGACGCACTTCCTTGTTTGGTGGGCACCCCCACGGCGAGGAGAGCGGCAACGAAGATTCACAAGAGACACGCCAGAGAGACCAAGCAGACTCTGAGGCAGTGGATGAGAAGGCGACCGACGAGTTCATGCATCTCATGCTAGCCAAACGGGCGAGCCTGCATGATGTTCCGCCTGTGAACAACATGGACGGTGTCCGAATGTTCAGATTGAAGTCCTTTGCCAATGCTGATCACGTTACTGACCTCCTCTTCGATCCAAATGGACCCCTGAAAGCCTTACACGATCGTGTAAGAGAGGCCGGATGCAGTGTCTCGGCTGCTTCAGTAGTCCTGTCAATCGTTCTACATTTCACATTGCTTTTCCAAGATTTGCATTTCCTCTTCCAAGCAGAACGTACGAGGTGTGGACCCTGCTGAGAATCCCGTCAAGATCCTTTTTGTCCCGTGCACAGAAGAGCAACTGCTTGAATTGCATCAGCTAGCTGCGGATGGTAGCGTGGTTGATCAATTGACACATGAGCCTTCTGTTGTGCTGTCTGAGAGTTAAAGGAATATGCCTCCAAATATTGGCTTCAAACTGCAATTTCTGGTGTCGGTCGGATTTTGGTGCGTTGGTTTGTCAACTTCAACTTTTTATTGGATTTCGCCTGGGCCACCGGGCGCCTGAGGCTTCGAACTGCGCCGTGACGTGCACATCTTGGCGCTGGACGAGGATGCGGCGCTCATCGACGCAGCGCTGCGGCGGATCCCCCGGAAGCGCCGGCCGCAGCTGAAAAAGGTGGGTGGATCGCAGCCAGACGGTGCCGGCGGGACTGTGAGGGGTTTGGAGTTGGAAGAGGAAGGAGTGGATGAAGATGAGAATGAACATGAGGGGCCGATGATTGAGAGGCTTGGCAGCTCTTTACGCAAGAAGGTTTTGATATGTTTTGATCACATTTCTCACTTTCGCATCTGGGGCTTACAATTGTTGCACGGCAGATGGCTTTAGACAGTGCTTGTGGTGGTGCCAAGCTCAGGAGAGAGACAGGCTTCGGCGTGAGAACGGATTCTGACGTGGGATTTCCATCCTATGAGCGTTGATACGCATTGATACGCTTGTATAGAAGCAATTGCAGCTGTAGTGTTTTGTATAGGAATCCCTGTGTTGCCTGCGCTCATCAGAGATGTGAGCTTTGAGAGTGTCAGGCTTGCCAGGCAGATAGTTCAATCTCTTGCAATTTTGGATACCCAAATCTCCAAATTGCTGGATATCAAGACAGCGTTTTGACCTTCAGTGAAGCTAAGTGGAGGACTGGGCATCAAGGGCCATTGTCAAAGATGGCGCGACAGAGTGCCGCTGGCAGTAGGTTGAAGAATACTATTTTCTATCTTCTCAGCATTGAGTTGCGTGGCCGGCGGACCAGAGTCGAGAACTTTGGACGTGCTGGCGAGCAGAGTGCCGAAATGAGAAGGTCTTAGAAAAAAGGATGCCGGAGTTTTTGGCGGTTCATGATCGAACCGTTTCGCAGCAATTTTGCATCAACATGATCAAGATGCTTCTTGTCTCTGCTTGACACATGAGATCCTGTCGCATTTCCGATGTGCCAGTCCCCAACTTTATAGTAGTTTTCCAGGAGTGACAGTTTGATCACTTCCACACCTGTGAGTCCAAGTGTGTGAGTCCACGTGGGTCCTGATTTCCTGTCGTGCCAGGGCAACCTGGAGGCTGGGGTCGATGGGGTCGAAGGCTGGATGCATTGGAGTCGCGCGGTATAGAAGTTCCCGTGTTTGAACCTGGGTGGTTCCGCAACTCAAAGTGCATGGTTGGAACACCCTGACACTGAATATGAAATATCCTGATGGACAAAACACCGAGCTGAGTCGGAGCTGAACCTGAAACTAGACTAGACAGCAAACTGATAAATTGATATATTAATATGATGATGAAAGACACATGTTGTATATGTATGTATATGAACATGCGGTCGAGCAAAACACGCAAGATGCATTAGCCCCTGGTGTTTTATTGTGTTTCAGCTGCTAGCCTAGCCACGCCGGCCAGGTAGCTTGCTGAGCTTCTTCAGCAGAAAGGCCATGAACTGGGAGGAATGGGAGGAGTTATGGGTCTTTCGATTGGATTTCTCTTGCCATGAACAATTTGTTCAGGTCGCTCCTATCGGTTTTCTCCTCAGCCCCCTTTTCCCTCTTATATATATATACACTGTGGTTCGAACCCTCGTGGATGAACGCATGCAGCCTTGGCACCTGGTTGAGATGATGCATCAAGGCTGACGCCACTCAGACATATGTGGTTTTAAGCTGTGACCTTTGTGATTTTATTGTACAGTAGTTTGCAATCTACTGGGTGGGTTTGTTTCTATTTTTAAATCTCCATTGATCAACACAGGGTGAAGTCCAGGTGAAGACCTCGTGATTGTCACGTGTGATCAGGTTGCATTGCCGCGACCTGAGGGTGACACCGCCAGGGAGTCTCCTGAAAGTGTCGAGGTCATGGTGAGCTGTGGTGGAAAAGTATATCGCGATCAGATTATCTTTTCCATTGTGTGTTGGGGATTGTTGGGGTATATTTGTTCTACAAAGTCGCTTTTCACGAGCTGGAGGCTTCCAAGTGCTGAACCTTTAGAAGTGATTTGGCAGTTTCATCTCCTCGGGGTTCCTTCACTTCTCCATGGCCTTGCAGATTGGTGCAGTTTCCTGTTTCGCACTGGGCACACTGAATTTAAGTTTCTGGTGCTGCCTCCCACGCCGAAAGCTGCAAGGCCAAGGGCATGCCCTCTCCGAGCCAAGCGGAGCCTGGACCTTAGAGGCTTGAGAGTGTCGACGACTATTCTGGTCGTCCCCAATAGTTTTCATTTGGACATGTCGTTGTTTTTGCGCTAACAATGTCTAGTCTGTTTGCAGGTGCATCTGTCGGAAATGGAGACCATGCAATCAACGTCAAACAACTAGACTATACCAATGTGCATCCGGGAGGTGGCATGAGGGCCAGACGGTTTCTCCTGGTCAACGCTAGGGGATGAAAGGGCTTGGTGCAGAAACAACAATGAAACACATAAATCGCTTCAGCTCTGAAGATGCATAGCAGTTCGACGAATCATGAGCAGAACATGGTCTTGTGGTTGGCTATGATTTTTCCCGAATGCGTAGCGAAGGGTTCTCGTTTAACTCTGGGGGTCTGGGGGTAGAGTCTTGTTCGCGATCCGTTGCTTCTATGTTCGCAACCGTCCGCAACCGTCCGCAACCGTTCGCAGTAGGTCGCTAAGGCGCTGCCATTGGGGGAAGCTTTTGCAAGTGACTATGCATGGATGTGTCACATGTTAGTTTGCGACGCGAGTCCATTGTGATTTGCGTGAAAAGGACATGTCGCGCAAGAAGCGTGATGCATTTCACTGCACAGGCGCAGCGTTTTGTGAGATCCGCAGTTTGCCAACGCAGTTCCTTTGGGATTAGCGTTTGGAGAGTCATGTGTTTGGGGTGTTGGATGTGGCCGTGCCATTGGGATTTGCGTTTCAGGGTGTGGCATCGAAGCTCTGTTTTCGTGACAAGTCTCAGCTGAAATGCCGATTTTGGACCCTGGGAGTGTGCTCAGAACGGGTCGAAATCATTCCAAACGTGTGGTGTGGTGCAAATTTTGATGAAGCTCACATGAGATGACATTGTTGCTTTTCCTGGCAGGCGCAGGACTTTGTGCGGGTTTTGAGGTGTGGGAGTGGGATTTTCGTGGCAGGCGCAGGGAATCGTGAGGTTGCGATGCGTGACGGGGGTGACATTTCGTGACCGGCGCAGGGAATCGTGAGGTTGCGAGGTGTGACGGAGGTGACATTTCGTGACAGGCGCAGTACTTTGTGCGCATGAGACGTGTGGATGTGGAAAGATTCGCGGCGGGCGCAGGGAATCGTGAGGTTGCGTGGTGTGACGGAGGTGACATTTCGTGACAGGCGCACTACCTTGTGCGCATTAGACGTGTGGATGTGGAAAGATTCGCGGCGGGCGCAGGGACTCGTGAGGTTGCGAGGTGTGACGGAGGTGACATTTCGTGACAGGCGCAGTACTTTGTGCGCCTTTGACGTGTGGACGCGGAAGGATACGTGGCAGGCGCAGGGAATCGAACCCGAATGCAAACACGTTCCAAAAGCTACATATGTCCAAATGACACTCTTGTAGGACACTCTTGTGG